CAGGCTGAAGACCGTGGAGCCACCCACCCCACTTCCTCCAGTCACTCTCAAGCTCACCTCTTGGGCCAGCAGAGGGTTCTGGGCACAGCGACAGCTCCTCATGCCACAGCTGCTCCCAGGCCCCTGGAGGCCTGGGCTGCCTCACAGCAGGAGGCCCCATCCCCCCGGCGCAGGGGCCCGGGGTCTACCGGGAGTGCTGGTGTCTGCCTGGACCCCAGGGCTGCCTCTGGTCCAAGTTGTCCTCCCTGGAGTCTCCTGGGTCCTATGTGAACTTTGGGTTCAGATGAGTGTGGAGGAAGGGGGTGGCCCCCCAATCCTAGCTCCCCAAAATACTGAGACCCTCCCTCCCCAACCCGGTTGCGACCAGACCTCCACCCCTCCCTCCCTCTTGGTCACAGAAGGCCCTGGGCACCTCCTGCTTCCTCACCCCCATGACACACTGAGAGAGCAAGTGGCTTAGATGCCAAAATTCCAACCCAGTGTCCCCTCAGAGGGGACTGTGATAGGAATCAGGGGCTCCCCTGTGACTCCACACAGGACAGGACTCGACACCACACTGTAGTCAACTCAGGGAAGCAGAGCCAATGGTTTTGTGCATGGCTACGCTGTGGGCTGGCACTTTGCAACAGTGGGTCATGGTGGCATGTGTCCTCGGGGTCTGGTTCAGACTATAGGTGACTCAGGAAAAAGGCTGAGCTCAGTCCTTTAAGCCAGTGGCCACTGAATTTTTCTGACCATAACCCGTAACAAGAAACGCAGCATGTGAGTGTACACATGCACACTCATACACACACACAGCACATTCATACACACACGGCACTTTAATACACACACATGATGTATACACACGTATACATGTACACACACCCCACACACACATATACACACACATACACACATGATGTATATACACACAGATACACACCCACACACATACACACGTATACACATACATACACACACAGACAGACCATACGTATACACACATATACACATGTATACACACATACACACACAACCACACATATACACGCATATACACACTCACAGAAACACACATATATACACACTCACACATACAAGAAAAGGAAGGGTTAACAACTGGTAGCAAGCCTTCTTTCCTCCCCTGGGGACGATGTCATCGAGAAGGAAAAGAGTCAGAAGAAAGGAAAGGGGCACACCGGGCAAATCCCGCTGCGAACCTGCTGCTCAGCGCTCCTGGGGCGCTGGCTCGTGGGCAAAGCGGTGTCCTGACGCAGCCGGCCTGGGCTTGTCAGGAGCCGGCCCGGCCCTGTGGGGCGCAGGGCCCGAGAGGGTCAGCATCTCCCCTGTGACTGCTGGAGCTTGAAGGGCAACACCCATGGGGAAGTGGTCCCACGAGTGTGCTGCCCCCTACAGACCATTTCCTCTGCCTGTGGCCGGCAGTGGGCACAAACCCGCCTCAGGCCCTCTCTGGTCGGAGTGGCCGCGTGCTGCCTCGTGGGTGCCGCACTGTTAACGCTCCTGCAGCCGCGGGGGTGGGTCCAACAGCTGCACCGTCACCCCCCAAAACCGAGTCCGGGCCGCAGAGGGAGGCTAAGGGCGAAGTGCCCCATTCCCATGTAAACTCACCCGTTTGGGGCGACGCTCTGGGACCGCAGCACCGTCTCCCCAGTCCTCACGGCTAGATCTGATTCCTCCAGAGTGGATCGGGGGGCATCTGAGGGGCAGTGGCTCCTGGGCTGCTAGCCTTGGCGCCTGTCCCCTTGGTGGCGGTCAGTGCCCTCATTCTTCATCCTGTTTCTCAACAGCCATCACCACTTTGACCCAGTTATTATTGCCACCAAAGAGTGGCCCTGAGAGTAATGTTATGTCAGCTCCTGAGACGGAGAAACCCCCTTTATCACAGCACCTCTCTGTCCCCTCAGTGGCACTACGTAGCTTTCTCCCTGCTCATCAGAAAGCGGGTCTTCACGGGTGGGTGAGGGGGTGAGGCAGCTGATTCTCTCAGGGTCATCCCACCCCCACCCCTGCCCTTCACCCAGTGCAGCACCGTAGTTGTTAAACCACCTGGAAATGTTGCACAGAAAAGTTTGTAGCCCCGTCAGGACTGATTGTCAACCCAAATGATCACCTCCTGTCAGTGGTGTCTAGAATTAGCCACGTACCTGCCCCCTCCCATTGTTAGTTTAAGCGCCAAAAATGAGTCATGCCAGTAGGAGCCGTCACACTTCTGCTATTACTTCTCCCCGAAGCGTCCTGCCAGTTCACGGAGCGCCTGTGGGGTGCCATGGTCACCTGGCACGGCCATCAACCGCAGCATGGGTTTCCGAACAATCGGTGTTCTTAACCGAGTTACTTTTCACATGAGTGTGGCATCTGTTTAATTAGTCACAAGAGAAAAGACTTTTCGTTGATCGAAAACCAGTAAGACTTCTTTCTCATTATCCGAGCTCCTCTAAAGGTCTAGCTTTTACCTACTAACAGCAGCCAGAGAACAGAAGTCTTCTAGACCAGAGCCGGGGCGCACACAGCACGGCTCGGGGTGCAGCAGGCCAGCCAGCGGGTCTGCCTGCGGAGGCTGGAGAAACCCGCTCCTCGCTAGTGGCAGACATGCAGCCAGGCACCAGGTACATCCTGGCGGAAGGAAGTCCATGCACAGTTATTGTTCTGCCACAAGTATGTTTGGATTTCCTGGCAAATTGTCATTGTTGGAGTTGAGGAGTTGAGGTGACATGTGGAGACTGGCAGACGCAGCCCGCCCGAACGCACGTTCCTGGGAACTGCGTGAGCCAGAGCATCCATGGTTCCCAAGGAAACTGGAAGGCGGAGTCCCATCCTCAACCTGGGTGCCTACAGTCCACCCTGGGTTCCTCCACCCAGGATCACAATGAGAATGACTTGCTGTCCCAAGTAGGGACACCAGAGGGAGGTCCCTTCCAGGAGACTGGCCTTGGCAGGAAGTGAGCTTGGGAGACCAACAAAGGGCAATGCACTAGTCAGGAGGTCACACCACCACCAACCCTGGGGGAGGGCCGGCCTCCCCCCGCTTGGGAGGGCTCTGCGCTTTCTCCTCACTGTGGCATCTGGTGCCTTTAAAGGTCAGGGACCAGGTGGTATTGAGGGGGCACTTACTGGACATCACTGGTCAGTGTGGCCTCTCTCCTTGTTCTCTGATGGCCTGAGAACTGCCGTATAAAGGAAATTCAACTCTGCTGTCCTTGAACCAGCCGGGATGAGCAGTTATATCCGAGGGAAGGCAGGTGTCAATGTCCAGCATTGCCTAGGACACCTGGAGCCTGAATCTGCAAATATCTGTGCTACCACCTGGGAAACGGTTACGTCTACAAACCTGGCGGAGCACAGAACATGCCGAACAGCCTCCCATTGGCGCCCAGCTACTGGGACCATGGGTATCATATGGGAAGGTCATTTCTGCTGCAAAGGAAGGAAATGAGGCTGTCGTTTTAAGTGTCCTGTAACAGATTTTTCAAAGGACTCTCCTGGGCTGCAAACAGTCGATTTTCATTATTTATAGAGGTTCTGTTCTATGAAGTCAGCAAGAACACAGAATTGCGGGGTACGGAGTCACTGCTCCCAGGGAAACACAGGGCTAGGTTCCTGGGAACCTGTGGCCTCTTTTCCAACAGCCGATCAACACATAAATGTCTGCCAATCACACATCTGAGTAAGGGTTAATATCCAAAATGTAGAGAGAACGCATACAACTCAAAAACAAAAACCAAA